GCAGAGCAGAAATGGTTTGGTTTTAGGAGCAGTGTTGAGTCAGTGTTGAGTCCTGGGCCTCGGGGGGCACGGATGGAGCGTGCGCTCGTGCTTGCGGGATTTCAGGGCTGTGCTGGAGCCTGTGACCAGCCACGGTAAGTGAGCTCCAGAGTTTGGGCATGAGTGGGTTTGGGCTCAGTCTAGCCAGGCTTACACAGTTTGGGAGGAAGCACTTGGGACCATATACCCTACTTCACCTTTCTGTCCAGGTTATTCATAGAATCATAAGTGGGGCAGCCACAGCTTCTCTGTGCACCCTGTGCCAGCGCCTCAGCACCCTCCCAGGGAAGAACTTCTGCCTCAGAGCTCATCTCAATCTCCCCTCTGGCAGCTTAAAGCCATTCCCCTTGGCCTGTCCGTACAGCCCCTTGTCCAAACCCTCTCTCCAGATTTCTTCTTCCTTCTGCTTTTCTTCTTCCGAGAGCCAGAGTGTACATACACATTTGTATGTACACACACATGTACCTGTGTGTTTACACATGTATTAAACTATGTATACTGTATTTATAGTTTGCTGAGAATACACATATTTTCCATTAATTGTATGTTTTAGTATGTATCAGTTTTGTATGCACATCTATGCTATTCCACATGGCCAAACACTACAGAAGTGATTCATACAAAGATGCATATCCTTAGGAATGCAGGTTATAGGAAAGTGTAGTTAACAATAGTATAGTGGTGTGATAAGCTTAAGGAAATTACCCTCCAGCTGGGTAAAACTTTTAACATCCATACTTTTTCCAAAGTTTCTCTTTACATAACTGTAGAAAACATCCACATCTCTATATTGTATCTCAGTTATTATCAGCAGTAGTCCTGGAATGCACCATATCACGCTTTTCAGGGAGCACCTCCCCATTCACTAACCCCTGAGACAATATGCTGTCCCTTCTTTGGGAGTCAGAAAAGACTTTCAGTTTGGTTTAAGTCACCCTTACTCCGCTTTTTCCCTTTTCTGTTTTTACCATATTTCATGGGCCTTAATGTTCTAATCCTTTCTCACTGCAGGCATGGAGGAAGGAAGAAAATCCAGCTCCAAGGAGGACTGTGATGCTAGTGCAATGGCAGGACTGACGGCGCAATGCCATGGCACACAGCGTGCGTGCCTGCGGTGCACCCTGGGCCCTGTCCCTGGATTCCAGGATAGACATCCTGGCTGCTTGAGCTGCCTTAGATAAAACCTGTTGAAGCCTTGCCCGAGTGTCTTAAGTGCTTCTTTACTGACCAGGCGAAGTTAAGGGTTGAGGAACAACACACTTTGATGTCTTTGACTTCTTCAGTCACTCGGCTCACAAGGGCTCACATCAGGGATTGTATCAGAATCCCAGCCTGGTCTGGGTTGGAAGGGACCTTAAAGCTCCTCCAGTTCCAACCCCGTGCCATGGGCAGGGACACCTTCCACTACACCCAAGAATTGCTGGGCAGCAGCATCTCCAGTGCTTTGACGCTTCCCTGGGAGCATTCTGGCTGTCCTGGCTGGCTTCTTGCATTACTTAAGTAACAGGAATTCCCTAAGGCGGTGCAGGAGATGGAGAGCAGGGTGGAATCTTGGTTTGAAGCCTTGTGCTTCCCTCCCAGGCCCTCTATGGAACACCTGTGCCTCGAAAGGATGTTCTGAATGTGGCTTCTCCACATTCCTATCATGAATACTGACCTTAGGGGAGAAGAGCTGTAACACCCCCTGAGTGGAATCTGATTTCCCAGTTCCTTTGTCAGTCTCCATTCTGGGTTTGGGAATGGTGCAAGCTGGTCACTTCCAAGGAAGAAGAAAAAGGGAGAAAGAGGGATTTGTTGAAGGGGTGAGATGAAGGCAGCCTGGCATAATCTGTGAAGCACTGTGAAGAATAACGGGTAACAGTCTCATAGCTCCTGGGTGCTGAGCACAGTGGAAGGATGAGGTCTGCGGGAATGGGATAGGGAGTCGATGGAGTAGGAGAGCTGAACTGCTTCACCCTTTGGCTCAGGGTGAAGGTGAGTGTCCTGTGATCCTAAGCAAGCTGCTTGTTGCACAAACCAAAGTGGTTTGAACAAGGATGGAATGTTTTTGCTCAGAAATGTTTCAGTCTCTCATAGTGTCTTGTAGTGGGATCATCTGGAGCTGCGCTGGCAGCTGAGGCCTGGCTGCCTCCTTGGAGCTGGTGGAATGAGAAACTCCCTTCAACAACTGCACTTGGATGCTGTGGGCACTTACATCTGCATGAAAGCTTAATAGGGCCTTAAAATGACTGTGAGCTATGGGTTGGGTTGTCCATGTCTCAAAATCAAAGCCTGAATGGGATCTTACAGGGTTTGAAGGATCAGCATTCTAAAGATAAATAGTCTTTGCTCAGACACGTAGTTTGGAGTGGGATTTGTCCTACTGATTCAAGCAGTTAAAAACCTTAGCACCCACTCTAAGCCCATCACTAAGAGCCTTCAGAGGACAATTCATCTGCTCCTAAAATAAAGAGATTTACTGCTCATAAAGGTGCCTGACTCTCGCTGTTGACTACAGGGGGCTTCATTTGTGTAGTTTAAATGAGGACTCCTAAAGAACAAAGGTAAGTGTTCATGGCACACAGACACCAGGACATCTACCCTTGCATGAGAGTAGCTGACTTGTGTGTTTGGAGCATCTCAGCCAGGGATGTTACAGCTTCTTCCCAGTGCTGAGTCATTGAATCCCAGCCTGGTTTGGGTTGGAAGGGACCTTAAAGCTCCTCCGGTTCCAACCCCCTGCCACAGTCAGGGGCACAGTCAACCCGTCAGAGCTGCAGCTGCACTGGAGCACTGCATAAAGAATTTATGAGGTAGATCTGACCTTTTGCTGGGAAAGGACTTGCAGACGTTGCTATGGAGGCAGGTGCTGCTGTGCCACATCTTGCTCTGCACTTGCACCACTCTGGTAGGATCTACTGGATTATAGGGGAGGAGGTGGATGTAACTGATGGGTCGTGTGCTGAGGAGCACCCGCTGCCGTGAGGACGGATGTGATTTATCCAGCTTTTCTAGAAAGGGCTGGTTTTCCTTCTGTAATTAGGATTTTCTTTCGCCACGTGCCACCACGTGGAGTTGTTTTGTTCTCTTTGTTCAGTGTCAGTAAAACCAAGGTGCAGTTTGATGTGAAGCAGGGAAGGGAGCCGCACTGAGTGCATGTGTCTGTCTGAGGGCAGCTGTGCTGCGCTGCTGCTGCTGTGTTACTGCATTCATATATCCAGAGAGGATGTAAAAATGAGGTAAAAGTGAAAATCCCTGATTGAAATTCATCACTTTTATAAATTCAGCTCTGGAAAAATAATTCATGCTTGGGAAAACCTCTCAGAGGAACCTGTTCTTGAAGATCAGTGCAACTTAATGGTGGAGTGTAGGACTAAGCTGGTATCTCTTGCGTAAAGCCTACACTTGAGATCAAGGGTCACTTTGAGGCAAATTCATTTAGTTTTAATGGTAAATCACATCCTCAAATTCACCAAGGCCATTGGTGGGATGACATTCCCAAAGCAAAGCTTGTGTGGCCGAATAGGCGGGTTTTCTGCCAGGATTTGGGAGGTGCCATCAAGCAAAGGGCTGCTGCTACTTTAACTATCAATACACAAACCCCATCAATGTCTCTCTCAGGGACTTTACCAAAGCAGTTTTCTGTGGTTCTTTTTCTCAGTGGAAATAAAAGCTAAAGCCAAGGTCCTTTCCCCAGTTGTTCTCTAACTTTATTATGATACTACCCTCCTCCCCCCGCCCCATCATTTGGGGAACATCTACATCCACTGTCAGCTGAGATTTCTGTGTTTGTGAAGAAAACAAGGATTGCCAAGGAAGATCTGGGGGTTGTGTGCCCCAGATTTCAGTGTGTGTGCACCTTGCACTGCCAATTGCATGGAAACAGAAATGGATTTATGTGTTTGTTGCTGGAAAATAGGCTGAAACACGCTGAAGGTGCAGTGTGTCATCCAGCAGGATTGAATCACATTGACCTTTTTTGAGGTTGAACAGGTAGTTTTCCATTTGCTAAGCAAGGTGCATTGATTTGCTTTGTGTGGAGCACGTCTTCCTCTGCCTCCCGCCAGAGCTGGTCCTCCTCAGTACAGTCAGGGCAGAATAAAGCTCCCTCAGACAGTACCCAGTGACTTTGTTCATCTCTTTTCTCCTTTCTTGTCTTCTGGAAATGATCTTCTGGAAGTCGCTTGTCCCTCAATCACTGCAGTTTTCATTGCTCCGGAGGCATAAAGCTGTGCTGGCATTTTGGGGTTAGGTGGGTGCCTGCCTTGGGTTTGGTGAATCGAGGCTGCTCTTCCTTGCTGAGCAGCAGACACAAACTGGTGTAAGTCATGGAATCATGGAATGGTCTGGGTTGGAAGGGACCTTAAAACTCATCCAGTTCCAACCCCCTCCCATGGGCAGGGACACTTTCCACTAGAGCAGGTTGCTCCAAGCCCCTGTATCTAACCTGGCCTTGAACACTGTTTTAAGGCTGTGATTTTAAGGCTGTAATTGGAATTTGGACTTAGGGACTTAGATCATAGCTGGGAAAATCAACATGGTTGCAATTGGGCCTGGTCAGTTAGTTTCAGTGTAAGAAGATAGCCAGAAACACAGACACAGCTGGTCCTTCCATCCCTGCAGTTAAATGAATCCCACTGTCCAAGCCAAGGGTGGAACATTTCGGCCAGCTGTAAATGCAGTTATGGCCCCCTTGGGATTTGAGCTCCAAAGATTTGCTTCATCCTGGTTCATAGCTGAGAACCCAGGAATGAACTCGAATGAAAAAGCAATGATTAGAAATAAAACCTCTCTCTACTAAAGCAAAGCAAGATGTGGCCTCAGGTGCTCAGGTCGCTCTGCGGGTGTTGCTGCAGAGTCCTGAGGTCTTCAAAGCATAGAGAAGTAAGTGCCAAGTAAGGCCTTTGTCTTGCAGAGCATCCACACAGGACATTCACCATGTCAGTGTTTAGCACCAGGATCCCATTCCCAGGCGCAGGAATCTACACCTGGCAGATGTTATAATGAACTCCTGTCTGGCTGAACAAGCTTTCCTCCATCACTTCAATCACGTTGTCTTTGGGATGCGGGTGCGAGGCCTCCCCAGAAGGGAGCTTGGCTGCGTTGCTTACTGGATCTTGCTGCAAAAAGGTAAAAATACCATTTAATTTCTTGTGTTGTGCCTGTGGGGTCACCCTGCGCTCCCCTGCGAGCCCAGGCAAGCCTCACATACCACAGGAGCCTTTGGAGCAAAGTCCTTCTCACAGACGTGTGCTATGATGCCAGCAGCCAGAGCATCACCAAGGACATTGGTCATCGTCCGAAATCGATCCCTAGGCAGGAGAGAGCCATGAGGATGCAGTTGGTGATGGTGCTGGACACCCAGAGATGCTCAAAGGTGGAACCCACCTTATGTTCTGAGAGTAGAACTTTCACCTGAGAAATTAAACTTCCTTTTTATGTGAGAGAAAAGCAACCAGGAGACTTGATGCTGTTTTCTCTCTGCTCGGGGTGGAAGCACAAACCTTTGTGAAGCTCAGAGCACCAGCCCACGTGTCAGTTATGTAGGAGTTCGTTTCTACTCTCTGCTCCTAGATAATTTGCTTCATTTTTATCCGAGTACTTTGAAATGTCCCATTGCACAAACTGTGTGTGTTTGACTTCTCTTCAGTTTGTCTGTGAGAAATCAAGCACCGGTTTTTGTCTCAAGATCAATACATCATGATGAGGATGGTCTCGAACCCTCAGCGTTGGATGGAGCCCTTTGGAAACCTCATCCTCACTCTTAGGAGTGTTGGTTTAGTTCTAGTGACGTGGGTTTCAGAGGGAAGTTGCTTATTAACTGCAAGAGGGGGATTCGCTACATCTGTTCAGGAACTGACTGTTGGATTTGCTGCTCTGATTTGGGGTGCAGCCAACTCCTGCATTACCTTGTTACTGTTCTGAGGTGACACCTATTTCTCTCTCTGCTTTTTAATCATTAAAACGCCCATGTTTCAGAAATGGAAGCAGCAAACTGGACGAGCACATGTTGTAAATCATTACCGGTGGTTTATGGGTTATTATTGGTTTCTCTGATTTTTATTTTCCTGGGGATCATGCTTTTTTCCTAAACAATGGATATTTCTACCCCTTTTTGGCACTCTCTTGTGTTGCCAGCAGCTTTATAGCTAATTTGAATTTCTCCTTGTATGAAGCTAGATACCTTTCACCCTGCTTGTACCAACCTCGTTCCTCTTCCAGGGATGATATTCCACCAGAACAAATACTGTACCAGCCACCACTTCACTTGGGCTCTTGTGCTGTCCATCCTCCTTTGCTCGTAGAATGGACAAACATGTTGATGACAACTTCAGTGACAGCTTGGGGAAGACTGGGACATGAGGGATTTCTAGGGAATACATTAACTAGCAGCCTTGCACAGTAATGCTTCATGAAGACAGGACTGATCACCTACTTTCCTCCTTTTCTGCCTCTCGCTAGAGAGGAAAGTAGCACCTTTTGGTCTCTTAAAAGTATAAATGTATATAGGTTTCTGAAAGATTTTGTTCCTTATTTGAGACCTCCAACAAAGCTGTGTACATCAGATAGGAATGTAGGCAAAAGACCAGTTCAAGTAGTTTAAACTTGCTTGAGAGAGTGACTGAAAACCCTCACTTCCACATTCAGCCCTTACAGAGGCACTAGACTGTGATGGGCACCTCGGCTCAAGTCAAACGCTCCTTTGGGAAACTCTTTTCCTACAGTTACCATGGGCTGTTTCAAGAACATAAACAGAAAATGAAGACTCCCACTTGTTGTGATCCCTTAATCTCTGCCTCCAAAAGAGCCGCTCCAGATGCAGCACCACGAGCTGGCACTTCCCCCCCCCCCCAAAAACTCCCCCCCCCCCCCCATAGCCTGGGATTCACTTACAGAGCCCAGTCCACTGCGATGATGAGCGTGATGTCGTCTGTGGGCAGCCCAACAGAAGTCAGCACGATGACCATGGTGACGAGTCCGGACTGCGGGATCCCGGCTGCCCCGATGCTGGCTGCTGTAGCTGTGATGCTGCAAAAAGAAGGTGGCCGTGCACATAGTGTGGGGCTGGAGGCAAAAGGCAAGTGTGTTTGAATGGCAAAGTTGCTCCTCTATGGAAGGATATTCTGTTCCTAAAGGGGAGTGAATTATACTTGCAGAAACCATGGAATCAGGGAATGGTTTCGGATTGGAAGGGGCCTTAAGGCTGATCCAGCTCCAAACCCTGCCACGGGCAGGGACACCTTCCTCTAGAGCAGGTTGCTCCAAGCCCCTGTGTGCAACCTGGCCTTGAACACTGCCAGGGATGGGGCAGCCACAGACT